CGTTATGATTCACTTATTGATGTTGACTCCATTTTAGAGCCATCAGATCTCGTGTCCCAGGGGAATGTGTTTGAGCAGATTGCGGCACTGGCAGGTGGGCAGTTGAGTGGAGGTGGTGGGGACTGCCAACTCGACGAGACTGTGGATGGATGAGAGAGAGAAATTTTGAAATGAGTTGGTCTGGACTGAATCAAATTGGCCTCTACGACGAGGTGCGTTGATGGATGATGTTGGAAGGTTAGGCACACGGAGTTTACCTCCACAAGCTCTTGGTAAACATAGAGAAATGGTCTACTCTCCTCCAAGTAATGCTGACAATGAAGTATCACTTACTTTAAAATGTCATGAGACGACCAATCTTGCCTATTAACAGTTTTCAGCGCTATTTTAAACCGCTTCAAAGTAAACTAGTTGGGAGGGACTGCTGTGTGTTCTAACGCTGACTTGAAATGTAGACTCCAGAATAGAATGGGGTGGCAGTTCCACTGGCTTCTTTGAATGGACAGACATTGCTAGACTGTCACCATTGGTGAGTGGATAGGTGAGATACATCCACGAGGAGAGTACGATTCCATTTAGTTAGATTTATAGGCCTGTAGGATTCTTTTCACTGCTTTCAGTCAAATTCACCAATCTTTTAATAGCTAACAACCTTCTTCTGAAAGTTGATTTCGTCCTAAAAACAAGAATTGTGTACTGAATTAAAAGGATTTTGATGGAAAGCTTTAGTATGATTTGGAGAAAACAAAAAAATGCATAAACTTTTCAAAGCGCAAGTAGGAACAGATGTAGGTGTGGGTTCACAGGTGACAAGGAGTTGGGTAGGTGGAATGTTGGATTTGCCTATAGATGTATTGGGACAGGAAGGAGTGTTGGATAAGGGATGTAGACATGGACGTGGGATGCGATAGGTACCCTGGATGAATGAATGAGTAGGAGAGTGAATGGAAGGATAAGTGGCTACAGGATGGATTCGTGATGCCGAAGGTGCCTTGTGACTTGTCCTGCTAATTCAGACTGACCGAC